GGCAAGTATAGTAAGACATATGAGTATGGCAGCTGTTGAGATGGACAACATTGTATGGTCTAGTTTTTCCTTGAGCTGCATAATCTGTCATTGCAAAATTAGGTAGAACCCAAACTTGTTGTCTTTCTATAGACTCCTTCAGGTCACTAGGGAATGTACATGTAATAGTTTTAGTTCCCTTGACTAAAGGTACCACATTTTCTGGAAGCCCAGGTATTTTAATAGTTTTTGAAGGCTTATCTAATTTTACAAATAGAGTGTCCAGTATTCTCTTTCCATGTGGACCTTTCTTTGCCTGCCATCCAACTACAAAACCTTCTTGACCTTTTGTTATGCACAGCTCAGTTGCATCATTATTTCTGATCATCACAGGCATTCCAAGGCAGAGTGAAAGCTTTCCAGCAAAGTGTTCAGTTGATCCATGTCTGACATTCCAGATTTGATGTTGATCATCAAAGTCAATTTCATTTGACTTGTGCTTTGATTTTCCCCACTTTGTTTTATTAGCTGGATCAGCATCCTTTCCCCACTTATCTACAGAGTAAAAATGGGTCAATTTTTGGCCTGTCTCCTCAGCAAATCTTTCACACCCCATTTGATTAATTTGATCTTTTTGTGTGTGTCTTCCACATATAATTGCCACATTTCTGAATTCCTTTGAAGCAATGTTAGGTCTTCCTGGCTTTTTACTGGCTTGAAGAGTTCTCAAAAATTTAATGTCCTCAGCAGTACAATTTCCATATCTCATATTCACCAATGCTTTTCTCAGTGATGCATCTTGGGGAGTCTGAGTTTTCTGCCTCATATTCTCTCTAAGTATGACTACAGTTGTAACCTGATGCCAGAGAGCTTTTCCTACAGCAGCTTCTTGGCCACCTGGCTTTAAGCCTGAATGGACTTGTGTTCCAACTGAGTGACTGTATAGAGACTGACCACCAACAGGGGGCAGTTGGGCAAAATCACCAGCAAATATCATATTAATTCCACCATATGGCTTATCAAAATTATTGAGTGCTTTGGCTAACTGTGAAGCAATTTTATACATGTCATGGCATGAGAGCATTGATACCTCATCTAAGAATATATAGTCAACTCCATCTAGTCTAGCTCTGACTTGAGCAATGCTTGTAGCCTCATTTCTGATACCCATTCCACTCATTGGCACACCCAAAAATGAATGATAAGTTGATCCATTCAGAAGAGCAGCTGATGATCCTGTTGGTCCAAGCACAATAAATCTATGAGACTCATTTCTCTGTTGAAAAAAATAAATGAGGGCTTTGAAGACTTGTGATTTTCCAGTACCACCCATGCCACCCAGATACATTTTTAATTGTTCAGTCTGAGGTTGAACTGCATGATTTGCAACAATTCTAAAGGCTTTTTCTTGCTCTCTGTTAAGGGAATATTTTTTTACAACTTTATCAATCATCCTTTGTGCTGATTTTTCTTTGGCTTTGAAGTCTTTTGTAAGATATGATTGGTCAACAATTTTTACATCATTTTCATTGGGGTCTATCTGTTGGTTTTTTATATTTTTCTGAGCTGGGATATTTTTATTTCTTTGAGCCAACTCCTCCTGTCTTTTTTGATCAACTGAAGCTTTCCATTTGGAACTAGACTGTAGTATATCAGGTTGGATTGGTTCCTTGTCAACTTCACTTATTCCATTTGGGGATTCATCCAGCCAGCCAGATTCTTTTATTGCAATTTTTGTAGCATTCATTTGCTCTTGATTTGCCCTTCCATATTTTCCAAGTGCTGTATATTTATTTGGAATATTCTCTTCATCATTTTCATAATACTCTGCATCCCCAAAGTGAGCACCATCATATGCATTTAATTCATCAAGATCCAACATTGTCTCATTTGACATCCACTGGGGAAATATTCCTTCTGAATCTCCCTTTTTTTGTTGAGCAGAAAAATCATCTCTAGCATCATTACACTCATATCTAATATTAAAGTTCTGCATATATTGCCTCTGTTGCACTGTGAATTCATAGTCATTGAAGGTTTCATCCCAAGTGTCTTCCTCAGATTTCAGATCATGACCAGTTCTCCAAGGCTTGAATAAAGCAAGCATGGTGGCACAATAATACTCTCTGTCTCCTCTGTCACATCTTGGCAGTGAGCCTCCAACAAAGTTTGGGACAACATTACTTTTTTTCTCATTAAATTGAGCTTGATGTGTT